ATTTGAAAGGTAATTATCATCTAAATTATTATAGATAGGAATTTGTGCTTAATCAGTGGAAATCCCCTGAAAATGCGGATTTAGGCTTATTTTTAGTGTTGGGTTTTCGAATTTTCCACGCCCAAAATGGGTGTGTGAAAGCAGTTTCCACGCCTGGTTTAGGCGTGAATTTTTTAAAATGACATTCGTAATTTTGCTACCGCGAATAGCACCTCCCAAAATTTAAATAGGGGTGGAAATTGGATTTTTTTTTTTTAATGTGGTCTAGGCTCGTTCTTTCTTTTGGCCCACTTCATTTCTTCTCCAATTGGTGGGCTTTTATGGTGGTGTTGGTTTTAGCTTTTAGCCCATCAATATATAATTTAAATTGTATATGTATAGTAGGATTATTTGCACTTTGCCCCTTGTATCACGTGATGTGAATTGCGGCTAATTTTTGGCCAAAATCGACAAATTCGACATCGATGCAACAAAAAATAAAGTTGAGGTATCATCGTACGAGTTTTTTTTTTTTGTTTGGGGGCAAAGCGCAAAGACAATCTAAGCACGAAAGCAAAGTGGACATAAACCCTATGTAGTAATAGTACTATTTGGCAAGGTTTTTATGTGTTTTGAGTTTTGACTTGTATTACAATAATTTCTTGCCAAAGTTAAGAAAGATACAGTTGAATATTTAAGGTTTATTTGAATATCTATCTAGTTTTAGAATTCTGTTCTAATAAAATTATTCGAACCCATCGAGTTTCTTGCACCAATTAACCTCGATCGAGCTTCTAATAATAGACCGACGATCAAATATCGAGAAACCGACGATCAAATATTGAGTAACTTTGTTCGATATTCTCATTCCGGTGAAATAAAACCAAAGATCGCTTGAAATTGTGACGAAAATATATACAAATTAAATTAAACTCCCCATATAATTTATAAATTTAACAAACCATAAGTCGTAACAAGAAATCCGGCTGCAATCGAAACGCATCCCAGAAAATTCATCGCTATTCTGGATGTTGCACACAATTTCTTACAACAAAAAAAAATAAAAATCCAAGACTAAAACTACATAAACTATAATAAAAAATAAATAAATAAATAAAAAATAAAAAAGAAGAAAAGAAATAATAAACTAGTAATTAAGCATGTTTCTGGAGGTGGTAATCTTGATGACGAGGCCGGGAAAAACGTCGTCGTGTTGCTGAATATGAGGGTTGTTCTCGAGTATGTACGGATCGTCGCACTTATCGCTGATGCTGTGTAGGGTTTCGCCTTCTTTAACCTGATCTATTTCGCTGCAATACTCTCTTCTTCTCATGTTACTTTTATAATTATAATACGACACCTTCTTCGTGTTGATCATCATGCTTTCGTCATCAACTACGTAA